TCTCTCTCTCTCTCTCTCTCTCTCTCTCTCTCTCTCTCTCTCTCTCTTCTCTCTCTCTCTCTTCCTTCTCTCTCTCGCGCGCTCGCTCTCTTCTCTCTCTTTCTCTCTAACTCACTCAAACACACTCCATCTTCGAACCTGTTGCTACCTAAATCAACAACTACAGACAAACTCAACGTATCACAGCAAAAAACAACATGGCCGCCGCCGCCGCCGCGCATGCACATATACGTTACCTCGTGATGCGCCGGCGGGACTTGAAGGATGGCGACACGCGCTTCCTCAGCCTGCGCTTCTTTCCCGCCACCCTACCCGCCGCAGACGAACTCTGACTCCGGGAGCGCGTGCGCGAGCGAGGCTTGGAGCGTGAGCGCGAGCGTGACGTAGAGCGTGACCTTGATCTTGACCTTGACCGCGAGCGGGAGCGTGAGCCCGACCACGACTTCCGCCGGCTCTTGCTGCGTGACCTGCGCGGTGACACGATGACGTCAGTGTTCCGAAATCAACAGCTCATAAACTATATAACATTATACAATATATAGTATTTATATATACCATATATACCATATATACCATATATACCATATATACCATATATACCATATATACCATATATACCATATATACCATATATACCATATATATATATATATATATATATATATATATATATATATATANAGGGAGTGAGAGGGGAGGAGGAAGGAAAGAGGAGAGAAATAAGGGAGGGACGGGGGAGGGAGGAATGCAAACGGAGATCTGCACGCGCATGCGCAGTCACACGCGCAGACAAACGCACGTACGGCACAAACGGCACACACACATACACGGATGCACAAATTCCTTCTAATATAGTTACTTCTCTCGCCTTCTCGCTCACCTTCTCCCTCTCTCTCTCTCTCTCTCTCTCTCTCTCTCTCTCTCTCGCTCTCTCACACACACATACACACACACACACGCGCACTTATTGTATTGTAATTTTAATTGTATTAATAGTTTATGGGGTCTTGACATCAAACTTAACTGCTCATCATTAAGATATTATTAATTATATTAATCAATTATGTTAACTAATTATATAAATAATTACTAATGAAACCTAATCACTAACTGATTGATTATTAGTAATAGGTAATCACCTCGATCGGCTGAACGAGCGCGTGCGGGACCGTGACCTTGTCCGCGTCCTTGACCGTGACCTCGACTTCCGGCGCGACCTCGAGCGGGAGCGACTCGGCGAGCGACTGCCCGACCTTGACCGTGTGCGGCTCTTCGACCTTGACCCCGCCGAGCTGCGAGATCGGCTGCGGCTGAGCGGGGCACGACGGGAGCGGCTGCTGCTGCCGCCGCTGCTGCTGCGAGTCTTGCTTCGGGTTTTACTGCGACCCCGGCTGCTGTGGCTGCGGCTGCGGGAGCGGGAACGACTTCTGCTGCGGCTGCGGCAGTTGTTGTTGTTGTTGTTGTTGTTGTTGTTGTTGTTGTTGTTGTTGTTGTTGTTGTTGTTTCCCGGCTGCTTCCCCTTCGCGCCCTTCCTCCCGGCGCGTGCCCGCCGCTTCCGCCGGACCCTGTTCTTCCCGCGCCGCCGCCGCGCGCGCCCGCCCCTCCTCTTCCGCCTCCGCTTCCCGCCGCGACCGCACTGCCCCCTGCCGGCGACCCCCGGCGGCGACCGCGATTTTGAGCGGGCGGGCAGAGTCGGCGACCTTGATCGTGACCTCGACGGCGACGCCACCCTGACGGCGGGAGTCGGCGGCGACCGAGCGTCTCCTCTCCCGCCGTCCCGGCTTCCCCGCTCGGCGCTCGAGCCGGCAGACGCCGCCGCCCAGCCGTTCGGTCGCCCGGCGACGCCGTTGCCTAGCGACGACGACGCGGCGGCGGTTAGTTCGTTCGGCGGCCGCCAGGGGGAGCCGCGCGACGAGCTGCGGCTGGAGGCGCGACGCGGCGACGACGCCGAGCGGCTCGAGCTGCGGCCGTTCCTGCGCGCGATCTCGCGAGATCTCGTCGACGACGCGCCGCCGTCGTCGTCGTCGTCGTCGTCGCTGTCCGTGTCTGCGGGCTTTCTCACCGCGCCGCCGCCTTCCTCCCGGCTCCACGACCGACTCGACGCGCCGCCCGGTCGCCGCGACCCCGACCTCGACCTTGACCGCGACATTGACCTTGACCGCGACCGCGACCGCGACCGCGACCGCGACACGCTCGAGCGACGGCTGCTCGCCCGCGAGGTGGCGCTGCTCGAACGCGACGTCGCGCGTCGGTCGCCGTCGTCGCGCGACGGATTGTCCGCGGCCGCCGCCGCCGACGCCCCGCCGACGTTCGCGACGACGGTGCTTTCACGCGCGGCCGTGCTTTCGGCGCGCGGGGAAGGCGAGCGGGAGGAAGAGGCGCGCCCGAACCTCATGACGGGAGAGTCGAGCGGTGGCGACGCCTGGTGGACGAAGAGAAGACAGTGTTACGAGGACTGCAGAATGCCTGAGAGTGCGACACTATACATACAACATACGATATGTATACATACTAAATACTATATATATACTATGCCATATATATATACTAAATGTTATATATATACTGAATGTATAACACAGATGCAGCATTACAGGTAAGATTCTGATATGACATTTTACGTGCAACACCTAAAATAATTTTACGCGTACAGGTTTATGGATTTGGATATAGTTATGACTAGTCTATGTAGATACAAGTTTGTGCGAGTGTGTGTGTGTGTGTGCATGGTGCGTGCGTGCGTGCGTGCGGGCGTGCGTGCGTGCGTGCGTGCGTGCGTGCGTGCGTGTGTGTGTGTGTCTGTGTGTGTGTGTGTGTGTGTGTGTGCGTGTGTGTGTGTGTGTGATGTCGTGTGTGTGTGTGTGTGTGTGGCGTGTGTGTGTGTGTGTGTGTGCTGTGTGTGTGCTGGTGTGTGATGTGTTGTGCGTGGCTGCTGTGTGTGTGTGGTGTGTGTGTGTGTGTGCGGTGTGTGTGGTCTGTGTGTGCTGGTAGCTGTGCTGTGTGCTGCTGCTGTGTGTGTGTGCGTGTGTGTGTGTGTGTGTGCGTGTGCTGGTGTGTGTGGTGTGTGTGTGGTGTGTGTGTGTGTGTTCGTGGTCGTGTGCTGTCGTGTGGCTGGCTGTTGTGTGTGTGTCGTGCGTGTGTGTGTGTGCGTGTGTGTGTGTCATATAGGATATGAATTCCTGACAATGTTAACCTATTCATCACACGCTGGGTGTCATGGCGACCGCGGAGAAAGAATACCCTCTTCTTATTCGGCGGCCTGTCTTCGTGTGTAAGGGCAACAAGTGTGTCTTTTGTCCGTTGCATTACGTTCTCCTGGCTCTCTTCTCTTTCCTCTTTTCCTACGCCGGTCAGCAAGAAAGTAAAGAGCAGAGTAAGAGAGACAGCGAGAGAGAGGAGAAAGAGAGAGAGAGAGAGAGAAAGAGAGAGAGAACGAGAGAGAAGAGAGAGAGAGAGGAGGAGAGAGGAGAGAGAGAGAGACATGAGAGAGGAGCACGAGAGAGAGAGAGAAAAGAGAGCGAGAGAGAGAGAGAAAGAGAGAGAACAGCGAGAGAGAGAGAAGAGAGAGAAAGAAAGAGAAAGAGAGAAATGAGAGAGAGAGAGAGAGAGAGAGAGAGAGAGGCGAGAGAGAGGAGACACCAGAGAGAGAGAAATGTGTTTAACTCTGCGCATTTCTAACACTCGTCATGGACCGTTTGCCGACGCTGCATATTGTACATCATTCACTGACAACAATCGTACGTCATACTGTCGCCATACAGAACGTCATACTTGACCGTCATACTGACGTCATACGTATGTCATACTGACGTCGGCATGCGGACGGAAAAGCGGCGGTGGTTCTATTTATAGCAGTGGGATATCTAATTAATTATATCAGAGGGGGCTTCTATTTATTCAGTAGCATGACAGCGTCATGTCGTCGCCGCGCACTCTCACCTTTTCGCAGTCCGGCGCCGTGTCGTTCTCCTTCGATCTGCTTCCTTTCTTCTCTTTCTTCTTCTCTTTCTCGGAGCGGCCGCGTCTCGTCTTGCCGCCCGAAGAAGTCTTGACGCTCTTTGATATTCGCTGCTGCGATCGAAACACGGGAGAGAAACTGGATGACGTCGATGACCGTTGATGAGACGTGGAACGATTTCATTCTGACATCACATCACGCGCCCATCTTTGTTTTGAGCTTTTTTCCTCAGCGATAGATGTATTTAGGTTTGTGTTTCTCCTTGTTTTACGTTATATTTCGTGCGATGTTAATTTTATTCTCCCCACCGCGAAGTAATTGAGAGGTAGCGTAGCGATTGAGGGGCGTTCAGAAACGTTTGCTTAGTTACGCAAGTGCCGCAACGTTTTCACCTTGTGTTATGTACATCAGCCCCACATCATCTCTGCACCACCCCACCTTACCCAACCCCAGTGAATACCATAATACAATGATACCGTTATACAATAGAAATACTATAGACGACCTAGTATTCTATCTATCTATTGTATATATATATATATATATATATATATATATACTATATATATATATATATATATATTGCACTATATACTTGTCTACTATATTGTTATAATCTATATAATATATATAGTCTATATATAACTCTATATATGTATATATCATATAGTATTTGCAGTCTATATAGCTTGTCTACTATAATTTGCTATATACTTATATATAATATATGCACTAATATCTATATTGTTTCTATCGGCTATCACACTCACCTTTTTACCGCCCTTCACACACGACTCACTTCTCCTCTTCTTTTCTTCGGAGAGTCTTGGGATGGCGACCTGGTGAGAAAACAAGAGAGCAGACTGTAGCGCATGCTGTGATGAGGCGAGGACAGGAGTAATACATATATATCATATATAATGATATATATACATATATATATACATATATATATAAATATATATATATATATATATAGTCACAACTACGTTAATTAATTAGCGTCATCATTATCGACACCATGATAATCAAGACCTAAACGATCACACGAGAGATAGAGAAGATAGAGAGAGAGAGGAGAGAGCGCAGGAGAGGAGAGTAGAGAGAGAGAGGAGAGAATGAGAGAGATTGAGAGGAGCATTGAGAAGAGAGATGAGAAGAGCAGATTGAGAGAGAAGACATTGAAGAGAGAGACTCGGAAGAGAGAGAGAGAGATAGAGAGAGAAGAAGAGAGGTGAGAAGAGAGATGCCAGAGAGAGCCGACACGAGAAAGGAGAAAGAAGCTTGCTCTGTAACCATACCATACCAAGGGTAGTAGTGACATGTGTACAAATCTACCGGCTTAAAGGGATATCCTGATACCCACATCCTAAAGGTGAGAGAGAGTGTCCTTTATCGACAGCTTAGAACGAGAAATCAGGAGAAATATCAGGAGAAAGAGAGGAGAGAGAGAGAGAGGAAGAGAGAGGAGGATAGAGAGAGAGACCATACCTGACTAAAAAACCAGAAAACAACGTCTACGTGTTTGTACGGGTAACGATGTATATATCTATATATATATACTTATATAATATACATAGTATAGGCAGCCATGGACAGATATATAGACACAAACACGACAGAGACAGAAACCGATGATAATATCTTATGTATAAGCAGAGCGGCGTAAGTATGCGCTCTTGTTTCTTACCTTCCCGTATTTTAACTTGTGACGCAAACGAAAAAGATGGATTCGTCATTGTTAATGTTTTTTTTTGCTTTCGCACACACAGAACATCTCGCCTCGCGCTCTCACACAAACAAAAACCAATAATAAAAAAACAATAAAACGAATATTCGCTAGTGTAACAGAAAGGCAAGCAACTAAGAAACGCGCGCGCATGCGCGTTGATCATCGCGCGCGCACGCATGCGCAGAAAACACTCGCTTCTTTGCCTTTCGTTACGGCACACGGACCGTTACTCAAACGACAGAAAAACACACACAAATTCTTAAAAAAAGGGGGGCGCGTATACACCTTTAGCTGTTCATATAATTATATATAATAAATATTATATTATATTATTTTACAGACATTATTTTACATCGACTAATAATAGTTACCTCTTGCATCAGCATATCAGATAGGTTTTCCCCTATTCCGTTCGTATAAAACGAATGCGTAGCGGGCAGAATTAGAAATAAGTTTAGGCACACATTCTAGTTTCGTATACGTCAGCGAAATCTCGCCCCCAACCAACCAACCAATCACCGCCTCCCTCCCAGCCTATGTCCACACACCGAACGGACCGGCGACAAGCGCACGACCTTTGACCTTTAACCCCATTCGACTGAGGTCAACTACCTAAGACTGATGCTAAACCGAGTCAGGGCAGACGCAAGCGAGTGAAATTCCTAGGTGAATTCCGTATATATATATATCCGATATATTCCGTGATAACATGTCGTGCGCTTGTCCCGGACTTATTCGGTATGTGTCCGTATAGTAATTTTGATTCGCGATTTTTTATGAAAAATAGTTGTGGGGTTTTAAATCCTGAGTTTCGATGGAGAGCTAATGATCGTGACGTCATCATCGCTATCACAAGCGACTTTCCTTAATTATTAGCTCAATTTCTAATTATTTTGCCAGCAACAGACGGAAGCAATAAAAAATAGCATTACTATATATACATATATATATATACACACACGTATATATATATATATATATACTACTATATATCATATACTATAACACTATCATAGTATATATATATATATATATGCAAGGAACATGAAGCTAAGGTGATCTTACATTATAACTAAACAGTGATGGACGGACGAAGCACACGAAATAATAATTCCCACAAAATAATTACAGTAGGCTTAATACGCGTAGTAACACACCAATTAATTGTATCCTGCAGTGATAACAGTAGGTTAGCATACTTGCCGCCAACTGTATAATACCTAATATATATATATAATAATATACGTGTGCGGTATGCATGCAAATGTTTGGCACATACATCGACTTCTTACCATCAAAACAAATGTGGCGCGTTCGTCTCCCAGCCATCGTTTCTCAACATTTGTCATTAGTTCATGCATTGGCTCGTTCGTTCGTTCATTCATCCATTCAATCGCTCGTTCGTTCGTTCATTCATCCATTCAATCGCTCGTTCGTTCGTTCATTCATCCATTCAATCGCTCGTTCGGTCGTTCATTCATCCATTCATTCGTTCATTCATTCATTCATTCATTCGTTCGGTCGTCTGTACGTTCGTTCGTTCTTTCGCTCGTTCGCATGCTTATTCACTCATTCGTTCGTTCGTTCGTTCGTTCGTTCGTTCGTTCGTTTGTTCGTTCGTTCGTTCGTTCGTTCGTTCGTTTGTTCGTTCGTTCGTTCGTTCGTTTGTTCGTTCGTTCACTCATTCGCTCGTTATTCAGTCATTCATTCATTCGCGTGACTACGTTTTTTATTCGTTTCCCACGAGACGTACTATTTACGAGATACTAACCATTCGTTTCGCCCGGGTTCACATGCGGCTGCGTTTCACATAAAAATGAAAATCATTAATAAGCGTGAACTGTAGCCAGACGTCGCAACGACTTAACACAGTCAGTCTGTCAGCTAGAGTGTGATCTGGGTCCCGCTAGATGGCGCTTACGTCTCCCCCGCTGCGCATGCGCGCTGGTGACTCTAGGGGAAGGGAGAGGGGGAGAGTAAAGGGGGGGGCGGTCCCCTAAGCCGTAATACCTTTTGCGTTTACGCGGTTTCTTCGCTTTCTTTCGCTTGACTCTCCGTCCGTCCTCCTCGCTGTGACTCCCAGCACTTCCCGAACGACATCTGAAATGGAGGCGGTGACGTCACAGCTTAGCGGCATCACGTAACCATGGTTACCGGTACAACGCGGCGGTCAGAGGGGGGGGGGAAAGATCGAAAAAGCGAATAATCCTCTCGGCCGACGTGAGGGGTTCAGGAGGAGAAGGAGGAGGAGGAGGAGGAGGAGGAGAAGGAGGAGGAGAAGAAGAAGAAGAAGAAGAAGGAGAAGAAGAAGAAGGAGAAAGAGTATAGTAGGAGAATGAGGATGAGGAAGTATAGAAGGGGAGGAGTATGAAAAGGTGGAGAAGGGAGAAGAAGAGGACGAGACGGAGAAGAAAGGGGAAGAGGAGGAGGAGGGTGCTGAGAAGAAGGAGGCGAAGAAGGAGGAGGAGATGGAGGCAGGTTTTTAGACTGGCGCGCGCGCTCGCGGTCGATACTGTCGCTGGGCATCGGCGGTCTTCCCAGCGTCGTGTCGTATGCGAAGGCGGCCATCTTAACGCGATAACTCATAGAGTAAGTAGAGGGAGTACATTCATTATCGAGATGTGAGTGGCTAGCATTCAGTTACACGACGCGCCTGTTAGGAAGAGAGAGAGGGAGAGAGCCAGAGACAGAGAGAAGCAGAAAGACAGCCAGAGAGAGAGAGAGAGAGAGAGAGAGAGAGAGAGAGAGAGAGAGAGAGGCAGCCAGAGAGAGAGAGAGCGAGAAAATGAAAGAAAGAAACAGACAGAGAGAGAGAGAAAGAAAGTAGAAAGTAAGAGAGAAACAGGAAAAAACTCATGCATCACGACACCAGCGAGCGCGCGAACGTAAGCGGCCATCTTGATTCTCATCGTGTAACAGCGCGGCATAAACCGAGAGTTGATTTCTCGTCTGCCAAATATTTTCTTCAATCGCGATCGATCGCTCCGCGCTAATTCAATTGAGGCGAGCCGAAGCACCGCCGCGGATGCGTTTTTCGTCGACGACCACGCCCAGAGATCGATAGATAGATCGATCGATAGATCGTAAATCAATCGGCACGTATATCACATCTCCTACCTGAACGCGATCATTCCAAGCTAGGCGTAAGAAAACGAAAAATCAGAAGTCATACACGTGTTCAGAACACTACGTCTCTAGCTTTATTACTGCGCTGTATTGTTGCTGATGTTGTTGATGTTGTTGCTGATGTTAGTGTTGTTGTTGTTGTTGTTGTCGTCGTTGTTGTTGTTGTTGTTGTTGTTGTCGGGGTTGTTGTTGTTGTTGTTGTTGTTGTTGCTGTTGCTGGGGTTGTTGTTGTTGTTGTTGTTGTTGTTGTTGTGGTTGTTGTTGTTGTTGTTGCTGTTGGGGTTGATGTTTTATTCTAGGGCAGGAGATTGATGTTTTTTTTTTTATTATTATTAGTTCGTTTTTGTGGGCGTATGAATCTTTATAAAAGAGGTCTGAGAGACAGAGGACCAGGCATGACGTCATCACGCGCATACGCACAACATGTTCCGTTAGGTGCCATGTCCGCCATTCGACTATCGGCACCTCTCAGTCTAGTGGAATATATAAATATATATATATATTCATATAAATATATATATATTTATATAAATATATATATATTTANTGTTGTTGTTGGTGTTGTTGTTGTTATTGCTGTTGGTGCTGGGGTTGTTGTTGTTGTTGTTGTTGTTGTTGTTGTTGCTGTTGTTGCTGTTGTTGCTGGGGTTGTTGTTGCTGTTGTTGCTGGGGTTGTTGTTGTTGCTGGGGTTGTTGTTGTTGTTGTTGTTGTTGTTGTTGTTGTTGTTGCTGGGGTTGTTGTTGTTGTTGTTGTTGATGCTGGGGTTGTTGTTGCTGTTGGGTAATATCGTTTACTTATTGCTCGGGGGAAGGCTGGCTCTAAAAGAGACGGTCTTGAGTTTCACAACCATTGTTTGAATGATTAGCCTAGTCACGTCAGGGGAAGGTGTGTGTGTG